CCCCCCCCCCCCCCCCTTTCAACTCCACCCTCGCGCGCCTCGGGGTCAACGGCTCGAAAACACCGTAAATACCAGTGTTTTCAGCTCTTCCAGTCCTCAACAGTTGCCGAAAACCATGCAATTTACAGCGTTTTTTGTGGCTGTCCGGCAAAAAACACCGTAAAAGCCGATGGTTTTTGATGCGTCTCGGTTTGAAAAATGACCGAAACATGACCAAAAACCAGGAAAGATTTTGTCGGAAAGGGTTTTTGAAGCTTTTGGAGGCTTAAAAATTGCACAAAACTATTTACATGGTTTTGCGCACCTTCCCGGCAGAAAACGATGGTATTTACATGGTTTTCTGCGCTTTCCCAGCACACAACCGTGGTGCGCCTCTGGATCGACGGCTACAAAACACCGTAAATGCCAGTGTTTTCAGCTCCTCCTGTCTTCAAGCATGGCCTCAAACCATGCAATTTACAGGGTTTTATGTGGCTGTTCGGCAAAAAACCTCGTAAAAATTGATGGTTCTTGACGTGCCTCGGTTTGAAAAATCGCCGAAAAATGACCAAAAGCCAGGAAAGATTGTGTCGGAAAGGGTTTTTTCGGCTTTCGGAGGCTTCAAAATTGTAAAAAAACACGGTATTTACACGGTTTTGTGCGCCTTCCCGGCACAAAACCCTGTAAATATCGATGGCTTTAAGCTATGTAAGCTTCAAAGTGGCCACAAACTTGGCTGATCCAAACACACAAGTTCGTTTCTCCCATGCAACCTTTCATGTAATATCAATGGTTTTAAGCTATGTAGGCGGTTTCTCTCCACACGCAGTGGTGCGGTACCTTTCGTTCACCCCCTTCCTCTCTCAAGTTAGGTTATTTGGTGCAATCAGATGAGCAAAGCGAAACCCTCAGACGCTGAATGCAACTAGCTCCTCAAACTTGTGTTGCCAGAGTCAGCGACAGAGATACTCTGCGGAGACTTTTTTGCGTAGGCTTGGAGTTTGACATTTACAATGGCAGTGGCGAGTTCTTTGGACGGCTGGGTCGAGATCATAGCAGGCTGGTGTGCTTGACTACAGTGTTACAGACCTTGGGGAGCACTGAAAACGTGTGCCTGTTGACACTACTGAGTTTTTGAGTTAAGTCGTAGTAGTATCCATTTTTTGAGTCGTATCTTTTGAATGTTTGCCTTGCGTGGGGTATGTTGCTTGTGAGTTCTTTATGATTTTGTGATTTGGTTTTGTTGCATTCTTGACTTGTGTCAGCGTCCAGTCTGTGTTCTGAGTTTGAAGCCACTTCTTGTTTACTCTGCGCTCGTTGAGACATTTGTTGTTCCCCACCTGTCAGGTGAGGGTTGTTATATTTTTGAAGAGGATCCCGTGATTCCTTCTCCCTTTTCTCCTTCTCCACGCCTCACAAAAGCAAACGCCAGATCACAGTGGGCACTAGCATGTTCATTGGTCTAATCGAGCATTTGTTTATAGAACTGTTTGTAACTGTTTTGTTTGGACTACCCGCTGGCGTTGTGTTTTGGTTGGTTTGTGGTGCAACATTCAATGCCTAGAAGAAAACATTCGAAAACCATATGAAGTCAACCAGCGTCATTGCCATTGCCGTCATAATGCCGTGGTGCAAGAAACGGACAAGACCCGCGCCGTGGCATTTGCAACCCATTGCAAACTTCACAAGACATTGGTTTGGATCATGAACAGACGTGGCTGGCAACAGTCTAGGGTTTGGCAGGTGTGGGTAGTTTTGCAACAACCAAAGCTGCCCCTGAGCAAGTTTGCCGTGGACATGTTTTCATGCTAGGCCAAGTACTTCATCACAACCCGGCCATGTGAGGAAGAAGCGGGCTTCTATGTATCATGGTGCTGTACTGTAGGGTATGTCCTACGTGGACAAAACATTGTACTATATTGTACTTACAGTAATTGACTGACACAGGGGCGTGAAGCGGTTTGCACACGTGGCTTTACATCTAAAAACTGTTGTTCAGGTCCTGCCGCTTCATGATGCGAGGAGGCAACTTTGGAGAGGTCGGCGTCTAGCCGTTGAATGCGATTTATTGTTAATGGAGGTATATACTTGTGATGTTTGTCAGGTGAGATACTTCGTGGATGGTGTGTTCGAAGACTATGCTGTCCTTTTCACCGACATGTGCCATGACCGCTTGACGGTTGAAGCAGTGTCAACCTTTGTTCTGCACCTTGTGCTGCAGTGCCGCCTTTGTTCCACTGTGTTTGCAGTGCGCAACAGCACAGGACACCGT